TGTTGACGTCACACTTACGGAGAAATCGTACCTAATTGTGACGTCACGCGTCATTTTAACTCAAAATATCTACATGTTTTTTGGATACGAGAAAAAAGAAAAAATACGTATCGAAGATTTTTAAAATATCTAAAAGACGGACAAAAAATTATAAAATAGTCGCCATGCCTATTGTTAAAGTACCAGACAATATCAACAACTGTCATTGATTTTGAGGTGGTACGAAGTTTAAAATGATAGCTAGTAAAAATATTTTGAAGTCACGAGTTCATGTTTCGAACTTTCTTCGATTCTGCAGCTGTAGCCAATTGCCATTTAGCGCTTGGCTACTTGTAGAGTAGAACACTAAATATATGAGATTGACGTAAATTTTGACACTTGTCAGTGTCATCCCCATACATTTAGTTTCTCTCTTCGTTCTCGCGGTAGACAAGCGCTAAAGTGGCGTTTAGCTAAAGGCACTTTTAGACATAATATAACATACTTAATACACGACTAGGAAAATTCCTTGTACTTTTAAAAATAAATCTTAGTCCAACCAATAGCAATTCTTATTGGAAGTTTAAGGGCACAAGTGAATACCATTGTATTTAAGGAGCAATTACTCGCAGTTTGTAGATTTTTAGATGTAGCAGTTTATCAAGTAGATAAATATTTTGTTATATCAAAAACTTACTCCATCTTCTTGGGGGTAGTTTGGATCAGGGAAATCAAGCAATCCCCGTTCTTTGGCACTAAGTAGATATAAATAAAATATTACAAAATGTCATCATAAAAGTGGTTGACGGTGGTTACATATACGAATAGTTTTTTAGAGAAAAATCGACTCTAACAACTCTTTATTAAATAATAAATTTATTTGAAACTGTTATTGCTGTTCCCTGTTCTAAGTAATGTTCATATAAAAATGTAAAACACTCACATTTTAGCATCTATAATGGCTTTTTTATTTTTATTATCTTGTTCTATTTTGTAGTAGTCTTTTATCACCCGTGCTACTGGTTTATCCTGGAATTCAAAATGATATCATTTTGACCCTATATCACAATATTTAATGTCTGACAAGGTTGGTGCAGGGACTGGATGGACGACTGATACCACTTACTTGTAGCGAAAATATAATATAAACATGTCAAGTAACAGGCATTGTGTTTTCTTTTTTAAATTTAAGCACAGTACAGTTGTTAAACAAAATTAACTATGAATGTCCAACTGCAGCACTTGCCTAGTTCTTTTCAGATACTATCGTCTTTAACAAAATAATAATTGTAAATCGTTTTTATGACAACAATACTTACATATGCAATATAATCAGGTGGGTCATCCATTACATCGTCAACAGGACGAGACTGAAAAATAAAAAATCACAAGACATTTTTTGGTTTCTATACAAAATAAAGTATCCCATTAATTTGGTTAAAAGTGTACATTTGGATTTCTGCAAAATAACGCCTTATTCTATTCTATGATATTTACTATGTGATTAGTATCATTGCCATCAACAACAGCCTATAAGTACTGCTGACCAAAGCCCTCTCTTGCAAGGAGAAGGTTCAAGCATTAATCACGCTTGCTCAATGCGGGTTATCGATTTTTTACTTATAATTAGAAATTATAACCCGAGGTGTCCTCATCGTTTGTCAGTGGTGTCTAGATAATCTTAGAAAGTATCTGTAACTCGGAAAAAGTCACATGGGCCGCACTCTCATGCATGAGAAGCGGGCGTCTTAAACCTCCGGCCGATTATGACAGTGTTTAATATTTAAATAACAAATTAAAAATACTAAACTTACTATATCTTCATCTCGTTCTTGTGAAGCTGGTTGATTAGCGACCTAATATAATGTAGGATTAATGTATGTAGCTATTTTATACCTACTTATTTCTATGACTGATGATATCGAATAAAATTATAGTATAAAATTATAATAATTAAAGTCAAGCAAACCAAACATATGTATATACAAATTTTTAGTTCTATTAATTGAAGATATCTGCTTCAAAATTAAGTTTCAAGTTTACACCTTTATATACATACATAAACACAAACCTTTTCAAAAATAAACGAAATTTCAAACAATAATGATGAAATCATTGGTTTATTTCATGTTTGTAACATTTTTTTTATGGCATAAGCCGATAAACTAGCAGACGGATCACCTGATGGTAAGCAATCGGCGTCGTGGACACCTGGAATACCAGAGGCGTTACAAGTGCGTCATCGGCTTTTTAGGGATTAGGAGTTTGAGGATCGTTGGGGATTCAGGGATTGGGGAGATTGGGGAAGGGGAAGGTAATTGAGCTTCCGGTAACCTTACTCACACGACGAAATACAACGCAATCGTTGCTTCACGTCGGTTTTCTGTGAGGATTTTTTATAAGTACCTTATCGATATAAGGTTCCTGAGTATCTTCTGGGCTGGCTTGACTTCTTACCTGTAAAAAATTAAAGAAAACTTCATAAAAATGGTCATACATCTCATGATAACAATAATGATTACAAAACCTATTTGATATTAAAACCTTCGTGAGGCATACCTACTATATTATTATTATGTTTTCGGCTTACTCACGTAACTTTTTGGAGAGGAACTCGTACTGAGGAGTAGAAAAGAGACAGTCGCCGTGTCGCGCGTCGCAGAATGCTGCTCATGAATATAAGCCTCTAGCATGGCTTGAAACTATTCGAGATTCTCGTCGAGCAATTACGTGCGTTAGCCAAAAACATAATCTATACTTAATATTATAAAGCTGAAGAGTTTGTTTTGTTGTTTGTTTGAACGCGCTAATCTCCGAAACTACTGGTCCGATTTGAAAAATTATTTCTGTATTGGATAGCCCAGTTATCGAGGAAGGCTATAGACTATAAAATAT